CTCTGGAAACGGTCAAATGTCGAACTATGGCCACGGTCAAATGTCAAACTATGTACCGAACCTAATGCAAATGAAGTGAAACAAAGAACTTAGCTCATTAACATTAGGTTCGGCACATGAAAAGTTCGACGCTTGACCCTGGCCTAATAACCCAGGTTCAACCCTAGATAGGTATACCTGGCTAAAATTTAAAACTGTATGAAGCAGCTAAGTTATGGTAGTGTGCAGCAAAACTGTTTAATTATGGGTAACTTGTCTCTTGATCATATATTTTACTCAGGAAAGAGGCGAACATATATAGAATTTATTTATATTTGAAAAAAATATGTATGGTCTGGCACATAAAGTAAATTATTAATATTCTATTTATTGAAGCTATAAAAAAATGTCATAGTCACTTCAGCTGTCTTTCTCTGCTCGTTCCTCTCCAGATATATAACCCTTAGCATCACCTGTAGGGAATATAGTCCTAATATGATGGTAGATGCATGCTGACAAGGGTCTTGTGTTGTCCCAACCCATCATTCCAAATAACCATCTTGCCAGCCAGCGATATGATACAGCTCTCAGGAATCTATAACAAATACACAGTAATCTTTAGAAAAAAGCAGAAACGATACTTGCTTTACTATTGGTACTGGACAAAAATGTTTTGAACTACTGTAAGTAGATTTACATACTTTTTATCTGCGCCATTTTTTATTCGGTAGCAGCTGCCATTCTTGTTCCTTAAAAGAGGTCCAACTTCACGTAGAACCGTCTCGTTTGTCATGGCGTTAAAGTCTGGATGAGCAAGGATACACTCAACATCCTTGCCAATCCAAGTAAATTTTCCACTTGCTTCTACGATCTCTTTACGGCAACGAAACTCACGAGCACCGACCAGCTCTTGATCAGCACAGTTGCCACACGAGCACCTACAAGTATTAAATAATACGACAAAGGTCAGGTAAAATCAGCACTAAAATCATAATAGGGTGGATTTGTAATAATTTTAGAACTTACCAATCAGCTAAAGGAATAACCTTTTCGAAACGCTTCTCCAAAATCGAGGGTAGAATGGAATCTTCGTCATGTTCTTCATCAGAAGATTCACTATCGTCTGTGCTCGCCAATGGTTCTCCTTGGTAGGGTTCAAAACAGCTCTTTACGTTTAAATTTTCTTCTAAATCGCTCTCAGTTAAGCTATTAGACTCTAAACTAGAGTAACATAATGAATCGTCGCTCTGCGACATAACAAAAAGTAGAAATCCCGATAAAAAAGTTAAAATCCGACAATACAACCAGCCTCTTTTACTGTTTGTAAGAAAATATAAAGCTTGTGTGTACAACCAGTGACGTCACGCGCTGTGTTTACTCGGGTCCAGACCCCGGGACAATAAAATAGTTAAATTACTGACTTTCGTGACTTTAAAAATCGACTTTAAAAAATCGCGGGGCAAAAATAAACTAGTGGATGATATTCAGCATAGTTTAAACTATAAAATGAGCACAATTGTGAAAAAATTTTTCAGCCATTTCATAAACACTTCGAGGAATACACACACACATTCGTACGATTTTTTTTTCATGTGGCGTCACCTTAAATAATCGTACGAATGTGTGTGTGTATTCCTTCCTTTAAATGCCCATCCAGGGTCACAAGGCCTGGACATTTGCTTCGGTAAATGAGCTCACGAGTGGAGGAATGCTATTGTATGTTAATCTTTGCTTTTAATTTTGCATATATCTAGAAAAGGGTACGTATGTGATATTACTCTCGGAGAACTCCATCGTTTATATATTACCTGAGAGACATAAAATATGTATTTATTTTACTTCCTATCACCTTATAAGATAATCCTAGTAGTTTCTAGGTCATTGCTGTAGCTTTCAGCATTCAGTCAAAAGTATTTGACTTATTCATTTACGTATTTCCTGATATTGTTTGAACAATATGGCGACAAGGAGATGAGTTGCGTTGAGACATATTGTTGGATAATTGAAGCATAACAGGTAACATTTCATGTGGCGTCACCTTAAATAATCGTACGAATGTGTGTGTATTCCTTCCTTTAAGTGCCCATCCAGGGTCACAAGGCCTGGACATTTGCTTCGGTAAATGAGCTCACGAGTGGAGGAATGCTATCGTATGTTAATCTTTGCTTTTAATTTTGCATATATCTAGAAAAGGGTACGTATGTGATATTACTCTCGGAGAACTCCATCGTTTATATATTACCTGAGAGACATAAAATATGTATTTATTTTACTTCCTATCATATATATATATATATATATATATATATATGTATATATGTATATATGTATATATGTATATATGTATATATGTATATATGTATATATGTATATATGTATATATATGTATATAGATATATATATATAGATAGATAGATAGATAGATAGATAGATAGATAGATAGATAGATAGATAGATAGATAGATAGATAGATATATATAGATATATATATATAGATATATATATATATATATAGATAGATATATATATATATAGATATATATATATATAGATATTTATCACATACTTGTACCTTTATCAGGTAGTAAGCAGCGGGACATAAAAACGATATCGTCCCGGACATCGTTTTTTGTCCCGGACATCGTTTTTTGTGCCGCTAAATTTCGCGCCTTGTCAAAACAAAGATGGCCGACTCGAGGTTCGTGTTGGTTGATGTCGACAGTTTATCGAAGAAAACAAGAACGATAATACAAAATGAAAGACTTAAATTGTATATTATTTATATGAATGGTATATTTATTTTCTAAAATCATATTTGTTCAGTAAATGATGAATTGTTTTGAATTGTAAAATGATCCTATATTTTCAAAACTGTTTACTTTTGGGTGTCAAACCCTGATAAAGGTACAAGTATATAATAAATAGGTTATCGTACTCGGGATTCGGTGATATCAGTTTTATCGCTCTCGGGACGATATCACAATTGTCCCTCGCTCGGTTCGCTCGCTCGTGACAATTGTGATATCATCCCTCAAGCGATAAAACTGATATTACCTCATCCCTTATATGATAACCTATATATATATATAGATATAGATATATATAGATATATATATATAGATATATATATATAGATATATACATAGATATATATATATATATAGATATATAGATAGATAGATAGATAGATAGATAGATAGATAGATAGATAGATAGATATAGATAGATAGATGTATGTATGTATGTATGTATGTATGTATGTATGTATGTATGTATGTATGTATGTATGTATGTATGTATGTATGTATGTATGTATGTATGTATGTATGTATGTATGTATGTATGTATGTATGTATGTATGTATGTATGTATGTATGTATGTGTATGCCTGTGTGTGTATGTGTGTGTATGTGTGTGCAGGGCTTTCAAGCTCAAGAATGGGCGCACACGCTTGATCGTGCGTGCAATTCTTGTTGCACGCGCGATCTTAACATTCAATAAATTAGGTGTTTTTTTACGGTTTTCCCCTCGCTATTTTTAGCAGTACCTTTAAGAAAACAAGCATGGAGACTCAAGTAAGCAAAGTACATGCAACAAAGTGAATAATATATTAATATGACAATTATATTCTTTTTAAAGTTTGCTACTAAATTTATACTAAGTCTAAGGTAATTATTAATAAGTGAAAGTTTTGTTCAACATAAGCAAAAATGGCAATGTTTTAAGTCAAAGTTTAGCTTTAGTTAAAAACCACACTTTCTCGTGGTTTTACTGCCATTCGGCGATTCGCAAGTTTCTCTGTCCAACGTCACGCATTAAACTCAATGCGTTCAGTCACTGTCGGATTCTGAAAGTGAAAATTCTTCGTCTGAGAAAGATGCGTCGCTGTCAGTATCACTGTCATCATCAACAACCAAAGGGTCAGCCAACTCTTGTGGTTTATCACCGGCAATTTCCTCGTCAAGTTTCTGTCTTTTCGCTGGTTGACCAACTTTCTTTCGCCTGTTGTTTGTTTTAAGGTAGATCTGTACTGCGCGGTCAATGATTCTTCTTTTTCCTTGACACTCCACAAGCCGTCATTGCCGTAAACAATCAGAGAGTCGTCGAGTGTAGAATGGCGCATCGACAAATGCTTGTCGGACAGAATGTTCGTAAGAACGCTGAACGTACGCTCGGCTGTGGAGTTGGAACCAGAAATGCAAATTGCAAGGCTCGCGAGTTTGCAAAGATTAGGAAATTCTTCGCGACGAATGGAAAGCACTGACTTCCATAAACACTTCGGGTCAGGCAATTTAGGGTAGTGGCTCCTGACGTATATTTTGAAACTATGCCACTCTTTTAAAGCAGATGCCAAGTTGAAAGATGCGTGCTCCAATGGTTTGGCGAAATGAGCTGCCATCGCGGTGATGTCTTCGATCCCGTACTCCCTTTCACTGCACCACAGTTCTGGGTTTAACCATCTCGTCTTCGAATAGATCGCGTCATCGTAGTTTGCGAAACGTGCTTTCAACGTCTGGACCAGGACGGGGATGACTTTCGACATAATTTGGCGAACTTTCTGTAGACATCTTTCTCTGTCAAAGTCGTCCAGGTCAAATTCAACAGAGGAGTATTCTCGGTTATGCTGTTTCTTTCGTTTATCCCCTGCCTTGGTAAATTCTCCTTTGGCACGACCATTCTCTTCAATTACAAACCGCACGACATAGCTATCTAAGAACTCGTCCTCCGTCCCGATTTCGTCTCGTTAAGTTGCATAACAGCTCTTGAAACAGCCACAGGCACTTCGTATGGCATAAGACTTTCCGCTTCAAACACAAGGGAAGTGGGGGCGATCTGTTCAAGCAGATCGAGATACACATCAAGAATGCAGAGGAAGGAATAGGACTTGAACTTTTTCAGGAGACCGCTTATCTTGGCACGCGTAGTTGGGGTAAACTCCCCGGTGTTTGCCACAGCATCCTCATAAGTGGTTGTATATACCGGCCACGTGTTGAGCAAGTTCTTAAACCCTCTGCGTCGATGATTCACAAAGCGTGTGCCGTGAATTTTGGGCAGCTCGTAGTAGTGGATTCCCAGGGATGCAGCACACTCCTTCAGTAGACTTTTCAACTTTCCAGAGTTTTTCAGCAAGTAATAGTTCGTCTTGTAGAACTCTTCAACAGCTGTGAATTCGGGAATGTCGAAGGCCGATTTTACTGCCAATTCTATCCTGTGGTTTGCACAATGTATGGTTAAAAGCCATGGACGGTTTCGCTTGAGTTGGGTAAGCACGCCATTGTATTTGCCGGTATTCACACTTGCGCCGTCAGCTGTAGAGCTTACCAACTTCCCTTCGTAATCTTCTGGGGACATTTGATAAGGACCAGACTCGTTAAACAAACTGTTGATCCCTTTCACGATTGTGTTTGAATTCCCACCGCCGAATTTCTCCATCTCGAGTAAACTGGCTACAATGTAGACAGGTATACCATTTCTTTCCGTTTGAATCAAAACGAGTTCTTTCTCGGCTTTCGAGCTTGGCTCCCGTCACTTAAAATTGAAAAAAAGTCGACACTGCCCAGGATTAAAGCAGATTTTTCTCGAACAGCCTCTGCGATGCAATGCACAAATTCACGACCGCTTCTTCCATCTTCCTTTCGTTCAATCAAACGAACACCGTTCGCTTTCACGCACTTTACAAGAACACCGAAGTGACGATGCGCCATTGTTGGTTCCATAGCCATCTCATAAGCGCATTTCATTAGTTTCCGATAAGCTTCTTCCGTGTATTTGTTTACGCATCCTGTGATTGATGGTTGTACCTGTACCTGCACAAAACATTTATAGTTTAGCTATCTGCCCAGAAAGATATTAACGCCAATTTTTAAGCAACACCCGGGCACATGCATGATCTGATTTGTGCTTGTTTCATAAATCTTAAATTACAATAAATCCTGTAATTCTTTTTCTGTAACAAAATGGTTTGATACATTTTCTTGAATGACAGATTCGTCTATTTGAAATATATAAAGTGTGAATGTTGCTGTTTAAAAACTAGTCAAAGCTTGACAACACGATAGTTTGGATAATTTCGACCGCAAAATTCCACACCGATGACTCATATACGTGGGCATTAAGGCGCTAACACACTTAGTTTCGAAATGGAAGAATCTCAAACAAGCTCAAGCACTAAACAGGCTACTATTTACGATTTAGACTGACACAATCTATAATCTACAAGTTAACAAAATCTACAGCACACTATCATACATTTATGAACAATATAACTTACCTTCGCAGATGTGCTCGTAGATGTAGATTCCATCAATACATTTATTCTATCCGCAGTCGGTTTTGCACGCTCAATTTGCAGGGCAATGCGGTGACCCTCTCCTTCCAAATGTCAGTGCACATTATGTTTGCTAACATAATTTGTCCCTTCGATGTACGCCAAGACAGACTTCTTGACGGGTCCTTTGCAGTTTGGGTGAACAAAAATGGCATTCTTGTTACGCTCGCAAATTTTGCACCACGCAAAATTGACAAACACGCGATTATCAACATTTTCAGTCTTATAACCGATTACTGATTCTTTTCCCCAACTCAAAAAGGTAGAAAGTTCTACTTTGCTACCTTTACCTTTGCTTGCCATTTAAAATATTCTCTTAACTGTGATTAAAATGCAGCATTCGCTAAATGGCTAAACGTCCGATCACACAAGGAGAAATTTGATAGCACCTCGCCCAGTTTGTAACACCTCAAAGTGCGTGTAATTTGCATAGAGTGATAAGGTTTTATTGTTTTCAATTGGTTTAGAAATTTAATTGCTTAAAGACTATTTCCTTGCTTCGCGGAGGAACTAAAAACAAATAAGACAAAAATTTAACAACATTAGCGTCGCTCCAATATCTGATATTTGCGCGCGCGATCAATCACTCGCCTAGTCGAGTCTGGGCGTGTGTGGGCGTGCGCGCACGCGATCGTGCGCCCCCCATTGACAGCCCTGTGTGTGTATGTGTGTGTATGTGTAAGTATGTATATGTATGTATATGTATGTATATATGTATATGTATATATGTATATGTATATATGTATATATATGTATGTATATATATGTATGTATATATATGTATGTGTATATATGTATGTATGTATGTGTATATATGTATGTATGTATGTATATGTATGTATGTATGTATATATGTATGTATGTATATATATATATGTATGTATATATATATGTATGTATATATATATGTATGTATATATATATATGTATATGTATATATATATATGTATGTATATATATATATGTATGTATATATATATATGTATGTATATATATATATGTATGTAT